AGGATAGTAGCTCTTGAGGACTGGACTTGAGCACCCCTGTTTTAGATGATCAGGGTGCCAGTGGCGTCGGATGAAGGACCAGCTAATGGATGGTGGTCAGTTCAAGCCTTGGTTCTGGCTTTTGGTGTGGTTGTGTCCTTGGGCAAGACACTTTACCTGCATTGTCTCCTGATGGTGGCGCCAGCGTACTGCAGCCTGGCAGCTCACCACCATCAGTGTGAGTGAATGTGGTGTACAGGGCTTTGGTCAGGTCCTCTGACTTGAAAAAGTGCTATACCAGTACAGGACATTTACCGTCATGAAGATCACTGGTTTCTACCAACATCTGATGTCTCAGAGCAGAAGGTCATGAGAAACGTTTCCAGTAAGAGAAACACACAGTGTTATGTTTGACCTTCCCTTTAAACTTACTAATTGCGTTATCTTCTACCAGATCACCATCATGAGGATGGAACCCAGAGTGATTCTGAAGACCTGGTTCCTAAAGCCCGAAGTCCGTCCCAGAACTCTGTCCAATCAGAGCAGCCTGAAACGGTCCAGTCAGGTCCGCAGCCTGTTCAAGCACAGAAACTCCACCATGTGCTGCAGTTCTCTCCCCCCAGACAGGCCCCCGCCCCAGTGGTGGCCCCCGAGCGGACCCTGTCCCACAGCCCTCCCCAGCCACCGTCTCCAACTGAAATGTCCAAACAGGGACCTTCTGAGCACCTCACCCAGCAGGCCTTCATTATTGAGTTCTTTGATGACAACCCACGTAAGAAGCGCTCCCAGTCCTTCACCCACAACCCTGCCCAGGGGGACTCCTACTGCACCCTAAAGGCCAAGATGGAGCGACGGAAAGGAGGCGAGAGGCCAGCCTCCATGCATGGACACATTCCTCCCACCCAACAGGTGACGGTCCCCTTAAAGGGTCAGGGTCCTCTAGGCCCTCAGAGGTCAAGCTCTCTTAAACGAGAAAAGACTGAAGGGGAGGCCGCTTCATCAAGCTCCTCCTCAGGCGTCATTATCAGACCGTTTGGCAGCGTTGGCAAGAAGTCAAAGCTCGCACAAGAGTTTGCTGCAGAGTTCCTGAAGGACTCCTCCCCCACCAGAGACAAAGACTCGCCTCCTCCCATGTCTGCGCCGCCTGTGATGGTTTCGCCCCCCCATCCCCAGAGCCCATCCCCACAGGAACCTCCAGCACTTCCTCCTGGTTCATATCCCTCATTCCCTTCACAAACCCCAACGGCCTCCAAGTCCTTCAAAGTGCCCAGCGGCTCGACCCAAACGGTCCATCCGCCCGGATCCCATGTGTCCCCCATGTTGTCCCTGGGAGTCTGTGGGGGAGACACCAATGTTTCCCAGAGGATGGTGAGGAATGAGGAAGACGACAGCCTGAGTGATGCTGGAACATACACCATTGAGACAGAGTCCCAAGACAAAGAGGTGGAGGAGGCCCGCAGCATGATTGATCAGGTGACGTCACCATGACCCTCAGCATGTTGTGGAAGCATCTCAGCAGATTAAATCCACCAGTTTAGAATATATAAAGTTTATTCTAAAGGAGCATGAGACGTCTTATCCTTGTCTCTTCTCCCTCTGTGGTCAGTCCAGCCTCTCATGCATGCCCTGTTGTCAAACAGGTGTTTGGTGTCCTTGACTCTCCAGAGTACAGTGGGTCCACCACAGGAGGGTATAGACCGGTCATACACCAAGGCACAGAGGAGTCCCTCAACCTGCCTGCTGATGGTAGCAGCGTGGACCTATTGCATGGCTTTATCCCAGCAGCAGTCAGTGCTCCCCCTACAGGTCCCATGCAGGTAACACAGGCCCAGCAGACCCTGAGATGCATGATGCTCTCCATGTGCATGTCCTCTGGTGTTCAGCCTCTGTTCCCTGGGTTGCCTTTTCCTCTCTGTCTAGTCTCGGCTGTTAGCTGTTATCCAGATATGCTCATGTTCCTCATAACTATCTGTGTTTTAGGTTCAAGGTCGAACGGCTGACCTTGAAGGACCTAAATGGGTTTCTCGGTGGGCCAGCCTGGCGGACAGCTATGCCGAGCCTGGCTCTACTCCTCCACAGGGGGAATGTCTGGAAGGTACTCAGCGTCCGATGTGGTTCACAAAAAGAGTTATCATATCAGTCTGCTGACTGAAAACTGTTTATTAGTTATTAGAAAGGAAATCATGGTAGCTGCTTATAGATGAAACAGATCTATAGAAACGCTCAGACCTTCATTTAGATCTTAAAACAGCAAATAATGACTTAATAACAGATTTTAATCTGAAACGTAGATTCACAGGGTTCACTCTGGGGGGAGGGAAGACATCTGGGACTGAGAAGAAAAGAAAGGACCCCCCCCACACACACACACACACACACACACACACACACACACACACTCACACTCACATACCCACCCCACCACCCACCCCCACCAAAACACTGAAGGAAGGAAGTTCTTGGTCTGTAGGGAGAGCTCCACCAATAAGTCTGGCTAGATAGAATAGAATAGAATAGAATAGAATAGAATAGAATAGAATAGAATAGAATAGAATAGAATAGAATANCACACACACACACACACACACACACACACACACACACACATACCCACCAAAACACTGAAGGAAGGAAGTTCTTGGTCTGTAGGGAGAGCTCCACCAATAAGTCTGGCTAGATAGAATAGAATAGAACAGAATAGAATAAATAGGATAGAATAAAACAAAATACAATAGATTAGCATAGAATAGAATAGATTAGCATAGAATAGAATAGAATAGAATAGAATAGAATAGAATAGAATAGAATAGAATAGAATAGAATAGAATTGCCTATAGTCTCTCTGAGCGGACATTCAGATGGCAGTGGCCAAACTAGCAGATGGAAACGAGCAGAAAGCGAATTCTTCAGTCTGGGAACCAAAATGAACATTTAGGTTCAAAGTCCAAGGATAACGAGTGGTGAAACCGGAGGCTGTTTGTTACATAACAACAGTTATGCTAACAGTATTCCTATGGTGAAGCATGGTGCTGTCAGAATCATGGTGTGGGGATGTTTTCCAAACACGGGGAGTTTGATCTAGGGTACTGTGGAGCCAGGAGAACAAAGGAGCAACTTCAGGAACCTGGAGGAACGTCTCTGAGCTTAGGCCTGAATCTGTGTGAGCCGTAGGGTTAGGGAACCCTACCTGCTTTTGGCTGTTTTAAAAAGCGAACGCTCCTGTACTTGCCTTATCGTTACAAGGTCCTAGACAAAAGTACACAGATCTATTAATACTGTTCATACTTTCTTTGATTACAGGAGCCACACTAACAGAAAGTTGTGTTTATAGATCTGCGGTACATGAGTCATTCAGTGGGAAGCTACAGCTACGATACGTCTGAGTCAGAGACGAGCCACAGCTCTCGGACCCGGAGGCTGCTGCCTCAGGTTCCCCAAGACAAGGCAGAAAGTGTCCCTCCAAGCATCCTGATTCGGCACGAATCCCACCAAGGCCAGAGATCCCAGGAAAGGGTTCATGGTCCGCCCTGCTCACTAGACTCCACCCAGCGCTTAGCTGTTCAGGACGACGTGGACCCAGACAGCCTGAGCGATGCCAGCCGTTCTGAAGACGGACCCGCTATGCTTCATGCAAAGAAAATAGAAGTCAGAGCCGGAAACACGTCCCCTGGTTATCACGTCAGAGTTCAGGACAAATCTTCTCCTGTCAACAAATCCACCTTCTTTTACATCGGCGCTGAGGACCAGCTAGGTAAGGCTGAGTCGGCTCGGAGCCCGATACCGGCTGACAGGGTTCGAGACCCTGAAACTAAAACACCTCCTACAACAGTATTGATCCGACACTTGAGTGGACATGAACCCAGAAGAACAGGAGTCAAGCCAAACAACTCTGCTCCAAACCTCATAATACAAGACAAAGATTCGGTTCCTACAAAAGATATTTTTCGTCAGGAAAGTTTTACCAAAGACCGGCCCAGTGACACTATCCCGATGAAGAAGCTTCCCCACATCTCCAGCCAGCCTTCCATCATAGACATGGAGCAGAGGCAGGAGGGGATCCAGGAACCGGAGCCCTTCCTTCAGGAGTCTCCCCTGGACAACAAGCTTCCCTCCTCTGGTTCTGGTCGTAGCTCTAAGAAGGGGGGATCCTCTACCCACATGGATGACTCTCTCACTGGAGAGTCAGATGTAGATACAGCAAGCACCGTCAGTCAGGTCAGCAGTAAAAACGCACCTGTTGGCTCCACCTCTAAAAAACGACCCGCAATAAGCAGCCTTCAGAAAGAGAAGTCCTCCTCTAGCCCGTCTATCCAGGAAAAGGGACGGCAGTTAAGTGCTCGTGAGCGTCTCTCGGAGAAAAGGCGCACGCAGACCTCAGCTGACACACCAAGCAAAGCAGAGGCAACGAAGCGCCTACAGATGCGCCGCAGCACAGGAAACCGCGGTTCTCTAGATTTGACTGAAGGTCAACAAGGTACTGCGCCTGTCTGGACTGAATCTACTTCATCTGATCATGAAATCTCTCGTCCATCCAGTCGCACAAAGAAAACCATTGCCCCTCTACAGAAAGAGGACAACGGAAAGACACCTAAGTCAGCCACTCAACAGGTTTTAACTCGTTCTAACAGCCTGTCAGCACCAAGGCCAACCCGAGCATCAATGCTACGACGTGCCCGCCTCGGGGACGCTTCAGACAATGAAGGTACAGAGACGGATCGGGCCTCCCAGAACTCTGACCACATCTCGGCACCTCCCAAAGTCTCCGCTGAAGGGAAGAAGCTGTCCAGACTGGACATTTTGGCAATGCCTAGGAAGAGGACCGGTTCATTTACAACTCCCAGTGACAATGAGTCCTCCGCAAGTCGTTCTGGTTTCTCAAGTCGCAACAATGAGCCTGCCGCCATGGCCAGGAAGACATCTGTTGGGGACGCTCACCAAGCAGCCAGTAGAGGGGGCGGAGCTCCAGTCAAGCAAACACTGACTCGTGTCCGATCCAGTGGGAATAAGTACCCTAGCAGTGGTGAGTTCATCTGTTTGGTTCTCTGAACTTCGCAGCGCAGGCTGACTAGCAGTAAGGTCGTTTGCACTGTGACCATTTAACGGACCCGATTATGTCTTTGTGTGGGTCTGTGGTTCGGCTGTTCTGGTTTCAGGTACACGGCATAAACAGAGGGGCCCAGACTTCTCATCTTCCTCTGAGGAAGAATACGAGGCAAACACTGGCTCCACCAAAGCCAGACGATCTCCTCACCCAAGCAGTGCTGGCCAAACAGTTCGTAGCCAGAGAACTGCTGCCAGTAGAAGTAAGTCTGTCTCCCTGGAGACCGAGGAGGACGAGGACCAGAACGATGTCGACCCATACCAGAACTGGTCAACCCACAGCGCAGAGATAGCAAAGTATGAATTCTGCTGCCATTGGCTGCTCTTCTAGGCTACTCAGGTATCAATGTGTTCCTGCTGTTTGTGTTTCCACTGCAGGCTCAGTCAAGACCTGGCCAAAGATCTGGCCATCTTGGCCAAAGAGATCCACGATGTCGCAGGAGACGGGGATTCTCCCAGCTCTGGAATGGGCACCACCACCTCACCCAGCTCGCTCCCCAACACACCTGCCTCCAACATCTCTGCCCGGGAGGAGGTAGGACTCCACCAGTCCCCGCATCAGCACCATCACTGCACTCTCATGGCTTCATCACTGGGAACACACACATGCATCTGTCCGTGACCAGCAGGGGGCAGTCTGATTGTCTGTCTACTCCATGTGAGCCGTCCATCCCTTCTGAGACACTGAAACCGTCTGCATTCATCAGCCAGTTGAGCTACATTCTATCATCCCAGTGTTCCCAGTGTTCCCAGTTTAAGTGTGTTACCAGGTCCTTCTGTTGCATCTCTTCCTCTCTGCTCGTCCGGAAGCTGCAGAAGCTTTGTTGTTTGTTTGCAGGTTGAGCTGCAGGAGCTTCATTCTGCTTCAAAATCTTTCAACTTTCCATCAGTTCCATACCTCCATGGGGTTCGAAAGTCTCAGGTGTCCAACTCTACTCATCCGCCATCTTTCCCTCCCCGTCACCAGTCCCAGCACCCCCCCCCCCCCCCCNCTGCACCTCTGAACGTTTTCCTCTTTGACTGTCTGTCAGCTCATTAGCAACAGAAACACTGAGATGCTACCAAGGGTCCAAGCTGGAGTCAGTCTACAGGATGGAAGTCCTGTTTAACTAGATCTAATCTACAGTAAACACATGCGGCTGAAGCTGGTCCATCCAAACCCTTATTTTCTCCATCCAAGCTGATTCCAGCTTTGATCTGTCACTGACCTCACCTAAACTAACATTCCTATCGCTGGCCTCACATTCCCAACCGACCACGGTCCCCTATAACCTAAATCTGTGAGTAATCAGCAGAAAAAGATTTATACTGATCCAAGGCGAGGAATAAACTGAGAACCGGAGAAGAACCTGCATTCCGTCGCAGTTTAAAGACGCTTCAGGAAAAGTTCAGCCAGAGCAGGAAACAGCTCGGCTGATGGAGAGCCGCTGATCTCCAGAAATCGTTCTATGAAGTTAAAGATTAAAGATGGAGCGGAAAGTCCTCATTCCTGAGTGATTGTTGGAAAAGCTGATTTAAATAATTTCAATAATTAACGATTCCAGAGTTCTGAGTTAAGTTAATTAGAGGAAAGCTTGACTAGGAATTCAGGAAATAACTAAAATATATCAGAGATACGTGACTTTATATAATATCAATGCTAATTATGAGATAATTGTGTCATTTTTGGGTCAGAAGGAACCACCACAAACCACTAAAATAAAAAAAATAAAAAATCATGATTGATGGAACATTTTGATAAAACACCAAAACTATTATATAATAAATCATGAACAGAATAAATAAAAGGTTAATTAGCATCAGTGTGAGAATAAGTAATAATTAACATCTTCCATTTTTTATTATTAAAAAGGAACCTTTAATAAGATTTTTAGCCAAGCTTAGACTGTGAGACCAGAACTTTAATCTGTTTTGTTGATGAATCATGCTGTGCTGGTAATGAACTGGTTTCACTGGTTCATGGAGCTGTGGCGGGGGTCTCCTACTCTAACACGGCGCTGTGTCCCAGCAGAAACTCACTCTCCACCGTTGCAGCTGCATGTTGACTTGGTGCATGTGTTGAAGACCAGCTGGTTGTACCTTCAGCAGCTGCTTGCTGGTTTTTCATCAACATCCAGACCATCTAGATCATTTAGATCTACTCTCTTTCCAGCTGGTCCATCGTATTCCTGAGGCCAGCTTAAACTACCAGAAGGTTCCTCCAGGCTCTGCTGCCATCTTGGACCTGGATGCAAATATGAATGAGCCAGAACCCACTTCTTTACAACGCCGTCCGTGGAGCCGTGAAGAGGTCACTGTCCACTCCCACTGGAGACGTTCACACTGCAGCTCAGTTAGACACGTTCAGCTTTTAAC